TGAGGCCACAGGGGCGGAGCAATCGCATGTCATTCCATTCTAAATCTAAGCCTCCATGTTTATGACAATAGTAGCCTGACCACTGCAAAATAGTTCACAGAGCGGCCTCTATGAAGCCTTGCCCTTTTAAAAAATACTGGATACATATAAGCCTTCAGGGCAAGAAACCACGACCAGAAAGCCAATCACATAACCATCATCAGTATATTTGAGATGATATGGCTGGCAGTTTCAAGTAGTTAAACAGACAGTATGTATACATTTAGAACTGCAACCTTGGTGGATACAAAAGCAATTAAATCACCTACTATAAATCAAATATTTAACTCAGCCTATCCCCCAGTATATGTGGTAAAAAAAAGTAGGTGGAAGGAGGATTTTTTTACTAAAGAAAGAATGGCTCAAAAGTATTGTGACATGATGACAACACAAACTAATGAACATGTAAGGCTTTGAATAATTTGTTTTATTCTGTGATAAAGATAGACCAGCTGAGTAACTCCTGGAAACAAGCTATGCTTGTGTCTGTAGTGGAAACCAGACTATCATCTGTTCGGGCGGCCCTGCCCCTTCAGAACTGATTAGTGTAAATGAATCCTCAGTTCTAATGGTAGGTTAACACGAACACAGATTATTATTCTGTGCTAAGGGGGTTTGTGTGGACTCTTCCTGTGGCATGAATCATTAACACAGGTGACTGTAATCCATACAGACAGATAGCTTCTCAGGGGTGAGGGTGAGCTATCTGATGCTGCCTGGCGGACCAACTGAACTTCCTCTGCTTTGAAGACAAAGCTCAGATTTGCTCAAACTTCCAACAAGAACATTTAAAGGTAGATGACCTTCTGAAAAGTGAACTTGCCAAATACATTTTTCAAACTTAGCAGTGGGAAGGACACATTTGCAGAACAGAATCAAGTACAGGTGGTCATATACACCAAATGTATTAACAGTAATTGGGAAACAGTAATGCCGAGGATTTGTTATGTATCTGTTTGAGGTGAAAAAGCACAGTAGTCTTATTTGGAGTTGTAGCCAGCCAAAAGCAGCCGCACAAAGAATACAAAAGCAAATAAGAAAAATTACAAACATAAAAATGTGATTCACAGTTTAGTGACATTTTCAATGTATTTAAATGAACAAAGTAAAAGCACCTGCTCACCATTAATCCTAACATCCCGGGTTGAGTGTTTCAGTAACCTATGGCAAACTGCTTCTGTGACAACAGAAATCTTGGACGGGCCCGCTCCTGCAGACGAGGACCGTGCAACCCCATTGGCTGGCTGAATGAAAAACTTGCCCATCTATAATGCATGTCAGTTTACCTTTAGTGTGTTCTTGAGCTCAATTCCAGGTAAGCACAAGCTGAGAGGCAGTCTGCGAGCATCAAGGACCTGGAGTATCCACTTGCTCATCCTGGTAAGACATTATATAAGTTTTTTTTTCTTTTGCCTATTGGAATCTAATGACACAATGCTATATTTCATGTCTGAACAATTTATTTTAATGCCTTTGAACTATGCCTTGGGTCAACATAAGTAAAATAATATCTGCATTTAATGTTCAAGAGTTTTAGGTCTACAAATTAAACTGAATGGTAAATAACTGTAGTTAAAAGTTATTTTGTGATCTGTCTCAGAAAACCAGGAGCACCCTGAGGCGACTCAAATATGGAGCTGATGGGATCCACTCTGACAGCCACATATGCTCGCCCTAAAAACCAGCCACTTCCTCCCGGCCATCTCCACCATGGCATCCAGCTATCGCAACCCCCAGCCTGCCATGGCCATGAATCCCAGTGCCAACATGTGGAGGACCAACACCTATTTCAAAAGCAGCAGCACTGTCCCCACCCCTTCTTCCATGCAGCGAGATAATTTAGATCTGGTTCGAGCAAAGACCATGTTCTACCCATCGAACAGGACAGCGCTGTCCCACCCGCTACACTCCTGACGACTGGTACAAGTCTAACATAAGCAACTACAGGAGTCCGAGGCGTCCCGGAACAGCGCGGAGAGGCTGAGAAGAGACACCATCAGGCTGATGCAGGACAGGGATCAGCTGACCAGACGTACCCAGGAGAGTACCAGCAAGAACATTGGCGAGCGGCTCAATGACGTTGTCTTCTGGAGGTCTGAGCTGAGCCATGAGATTGACAACATGTTGACAGAGATAGCAGCGCTCACTGATGTTAAGAGGAGGCTAGAGAGAGCCCTGGCAGAGACTGAGGGGCCCCTTCAGGTGAGATTGGAAGGAAGACATGAGTGTGTGTTACCTTGAAGATTTCCTGTCTGGTAACTACATACGTCTACTTTTTTAAATGTGTTTTTTGGAAATGTTTGCAGGAAATGTTAACATCCTTACAAAGACAAATTGCATTTGCCTTCAATTCTCTGGTCAGGGCTGTGTTCATGCATTCATATTAACAATTATATCATATTGTGTGTGCACAATCTATGGTGAAACCAGTTTTGACAAGGGTTCCTAGTTTAGCTGTAGCAACAGTGTCTGCCTGGTTCTTCAAACTACTTTAAAATGCAGTATTTGCTAGTCAAACTTTAATTAGGTCCCCCGGGTAAAGAACCACTGGTCATTGTCTCACCTAGAGTGGGTCAACTTGACTGGAGATCTGATGACATACATCTTGTTAGGCTTAGATCAAATGGCAGGAGCCTTGTCCAGGAAACTGGAAACTGGAGAATGCAGCTGGTTCAAGTCATACTATACTTAGGAATATATACTTTATGTCATAACTGCTCACCTTGAATTTCACAATCAATAAAATGCTGCAAATTGAGTGACTTATATATACACTCCTAATAGTCACGATCACTTTGTCAATAGGTGTCTCAAGAGTGTTTGTACCACAGAGAGAAGCGGATGTCAATCGATCTGGTACACGACGACGTGGAGAAAGACCTCATAAGGGTAACATTAAAGCTAAAGTAATGTGTGATCTCTGATAGAAACCTTGGTAAAGCAATAATCATATGTTGTTATTTACCTTCCCTGTAAGGAAGTGGAAGTCATTAAGTCATGTCAGGAAAGGATGAGAGACATCTGGACAGAGCCATCGCTCAACTGGCGTGAGTCTGAAAAATCAATTTATGAATCATTACTAAATCCAGGGTTTGACGTGCGCTTGATTGATCGCTTTGTTTCTGCATGGTGTGTGGGGTTTCTCAGGTCAAACAGAGCAGCGCAGCATGAACTGGAAAGAGACATCGGTGACAAAGTGACAGCTCAGAGGATAGATGACAGGTGTCACCATCTGAGGAACACATCAGACGGTATCGGCTACTACAGAGGGATTGAAAGACTAGATCCTTCGTGAGTACAGTTTTATGTCATCAAATATATGTATTAACTGCTCCGTTTCATCACGTCAAACGGCTGTTAACAATCTCTCATGTTTGTTTAAACCAGCCTGGAATACCGGACAGGGCTGTTTAGTTTAATTGTCAATCATAAAAAAGCCTTTGAAAGTCAAAAAAAGCTGCTGCCCCTTTTTGTTCTTACAACAGGTTTAAACATACCATAGTGAATCTGCAGTTATTCGCCAACGCAGTCAGGCCAAACTAGGTGCTATTAGCCAGTTGCTAACATCAGCTTGCTAACATGAAAATGCTAAAATGCTTATGTTTTACAGGTATAGGTGTGTTATTGAATTTTGATCACCAACTTACTTTAGCAAGATCGTTTGCTAACATTTTTAATTACACATAGGTTAGCTGAAGCTGATTGAAATTGTATTAATTTTGGAATTCGAAACGTTTTATTGTCTAGTAGTTTTGACATGATAAGGGTGCTAGATATAACCCAAAGTTAGGACAATTCATTCTGAGAGGGAAATTAATGTTTGGAAAACTTCATGGTAATCCATTCCAAGATGTTTCACTAAAAGAAAAAGAAACAAATATAATGTAAAGATCTAGATGATGGAACGGCTAGAGGAAAAGCCAGGGGATCAACAAAGTCGCCTTTTTCCTCTAGGAAAAACAAATGAGAATGTCATCACAATCCATCCAATATTGTTGAGATACCTGAGTTAGGCAACTTACAGAACGATGTTGCCTTCGTTTAAGACGCGCTGCTAGTATGATCAAAACTATCTGAGGAAATGTCCCTCACCATGGTGGATTTCTATGACCAGGTAAAACTCCTGCTGAATTCCTGTGACTCCAACTAAGAGCTAATTATTGTAGGAGACTTTGATATCAACTGGAATGACAAACAAAATAGAAAGAGCTTAAAACGGATCACGGATAAACACAACTTAATACAACTAATGGATCAACCGACTAGAATAACCAAAACCTCCAAGACTATGATAGATTTATTATTTACAAACAAAGCTGATAGAATAGTTTAAAACCTACAACTTCCTGACTGGTCTTTTTGACCATAATATTGTTCTTTTTGCCAGGAAACTCACAAAAAAAAGGTTCATGGCCACACCTAAAACCCCTGCCTTCGGTTTCTCGCTTCATCCCAAAAAAACCTGCAACAACGTTTTATGGAGGCAGTGAAAATGATTGATTGGGGAGACACTCTGTCCTCTGAAGACATTGGTGAAAAACAGTAATCTGTTCATATCTAAAATTAACGATGCAATGTCTTCCTTCTCAAGGAGAGGGTGCCTTAGGGACAGGAAGGAACATCATCTTCCCTGGCTGAATCTACAATGCAGGAATCTCATGAAATCTAGAGATCAACTATTAAAAGCAGAGCTTGAAATTCCGGGCTATTCACTGATAGACAGAAATTCACTCATGCTCGTAACAAGGTAACTAACAAACAATAAGACAGGCCAAAGCAAACTTTTTCATCAACATAACATGTGCGAAAGGTAACAGTAAAAACGTTGGCAAATCCTAAATAAACTTAGGTAAACATACCAAACAGGAAAATAATGTACTAGGAATTAAAAATCAATGATGCCCTGATAAAAGACCCTGCGGTGTTGGCCAACTCTCTAAATGGGTGTCAAAACTAATCACCAAACATTTAGATAAAGGTTTCGCTCCACTCCACCCAATGCAGTTTGGTTTTCGTGCTCACCACTCCACTGAGACAGCTAACTGTGTCTTTGTGGAAAAGGTTAAATGTATGTTGGACACGAGCCCATATGTAGGTGCTGTCTTCCTTGATCTCAGGACGGCTTTTGACACTGTTGACCACCAAGTGCTCCTTACAAAGCTGACTTATTTCAATTATTCGGCAGATTCAATACATTGGGTTAAGTTTTACTTATCGAACAGAAAACAGTGTGTTTTGGTCAACAGTACCAAATCCCCCTACCTTGTCAAGTTGACAGGGTAGGGGGATTTGGTACTACAAATTATATGTGTATTACAATTAAATTACAATTAAATTACAATTAAATCACAATTACAATTAAATCACACTGTAAAATAGGTTAATTTTGTCGTAGTTTGGTTTCCACCACAGTATTTACATGGAAAATAAGCCCCGCCCCCTCTCCAGCGCGTTCTGTTTGAATGACAGGAGTAAACACAGCTGACAGCCGAGGTGAAACTCCAGCGGTTAGAGTGATGAGAAATTCGCATGCCATCGCGTCCGTTGTGAACGCAGCATAATGCAGTTCAGAAAACACTGTTCTGTCGCTTTTAAAGCAACTTCGAGATTTTAACAGTGTGAGGGGCCCAAAGGCCATGGTGGCCGTAGGACGTACAATTATTTGTGGGGCATAACGGCCAGACAGAGGGGCTAAGACGGCCATGGCCGTCATGGCCGCCGTGAAAATCCTACCCTGTTGGGGTTCCACAAGGTTCCATTCTTGGACCATTACTGTTTTCACTGTACATTAATGACTTGCCTAATGTATGTCCTGAGTTGAATGTGCCGATGATGCGGTCATCTTTGCACATGGGAAAAACACTGAAATTATCTCATCCTGTATCTCAAATGCTTTGGACAAGGTTCAACACTGGCTGAACAACATTTGCTTACAGTTAAATGCAAAAAAAACAGTATGCATGATGTTCAGTAAACGACCAGTCAAAATCGAAGGGTCCAATGTGTTTTTAAACAGAGCAGACTAGTGTCCCAGTTCAAGTATATTGGAGTCATACTGGACTCGAACTTGAGTTTTAAGAAACATATTAAGAAAGTATCCAATACCATTAAATTCAACTTGCAACATTTTAAACAAATTAGACCTTTCTTAACTGTCAATGCTGGAAAGTCATACCTCCACTGCATGATTCTATCCCATATTGAATACTGTTTGACAAACTGGTCGTTTGCTTGTGCCACAAACCTGAAACCAATAGAACAGCTGTACAAGAGAGCTATCAAGGTGTTTGACAGAAAGCCAAATTCATACCACCACTGTACCATCCTTGAAAAACACAATTTCTTGAGTTTTGACAATTTCAAGTCTTTTAAAAGTATGTGTTTTTTTAATAAATGTTTACATGGCCTTGCCCCCCCTCCCGTAGGGGAATTCATCCACAAAAACACACTGGACGCTGCACTGGGTCAGAAACCAGAGGAGACTGTGAAATACACCGTAGACGGACCACTTTTCGGTCAAAATGTATTATCAATTAAGGGCAGCTCTTTGTGGAATAGCCTCCCAACTGAGTTACGGGATTGTCCCACTTGAACAGCTTTAAGGTCAACTCAAAGAATGGTTGAGAAACAAACAAACATGCAATCACCGCTAAATGCACTTTAATACAGGAGTATCTCCTCTTGCACTTTATGTAGCTCTTTTATCTTCTCCTGTACTTTATAAGTCGTAGCTGCTATATTGTACTGCCATGTGGTAAATGCTTGTATGCTGCTCACGCTCTTTCTGCATATCATGTATTTATTTTGCTATGTATATAAATGTCATGTTCTTAAATGTTGTATGTGAGGGACTACGGATGGAAATGAGCTCAAAGCTAAAATCCGGCATGTTTACGGTTTAAAGCATTATTTGTTTTAAATGTTCATCAAAGTATAAAGTTCCGAATACATAAGTCGTTATTTTTTCCCTTTGTCAGACTCTCCCTGCCGGACTCATGGTCGAAGTTCACAGACGACAACATCCTGCACTCCCAGAGCGAAAGGGCTTCCTCCCACAAGCTCAGGGACGAGATCGAGATCCTGCTGAACACCACGTCCAACGAGATGTGGAACCAGTTCAACAACGCCAACGTAGCCTTCACAAACCGCATATCAGAAACCGCTGATGCTAAGAACAGCCTGCAGACACACCTGGCTAAGGTCATCCCCTTTTCTACATGACAATTCATTCTTGTTATGCTGTTTAAGAAGAAATATTGGTGACATGATTTTTAACAGGCTGTCAGGTAAGAATGAAAAGTAAAAACCGCCTGTATTCTAAGAAAGTAGTTTCTAAGAAGCAGTCACATGGCTCTATATTAAGGAAGAAGACAAAATCCATTGAGTGGTTAACTAAATTTGCCACTTATATGTATGAGAGAAGGGGATGATGTGTTTTCTCCATTCTCTACACAACACACAGTCCATATGTGCTATATATCTTTAAAACTGTGGAATGTAAGATACATCTTCACTCATACCCACTCCCTGTAGCGGACATTGTTCCTGTCTGTAGTGGATTTTGTGAATGTTTACTGCAAAACATTCCTGTCAAAAGAGCGACTGGAATGGTGATAAATGTCCCTTTCATTGCTTGCGCCATATTCCACACTGGGTCTCATTGTTCTCCGGTTAATTGCTTGGAGCCACATCAGCTGTTGGATGGGTTTGAACACTGACAGCAGCTGTGATGTGAGACACACTGTCCTTAATAATCCTCTGTCACCGTCAGTTGTAAAACTAGATGTTCTGAAGTGAAATATACTTTAAATGTGTTTGGACAGAGCAGGGTACTGTGCTCAGCTGAAAGCTTGCAGTGTACGGAGTTGGCTTGTTCTGTGCTCCTACCAGGGGGATTTTTATCTCGTTCTCTTGATCTAGTCAATACTTCCGCTTTCGAGCATAATGAACCTCTATCATGAATGAGACACTCAGTTGTTACTTTTATCATTTAACAAAGAATTGTTTTCATGTCATTTGATTCTGTATTTGTTTTGTCTCATCATGTAGACTCTGCAGGAGATCTTCCAGACGGAGATGCTGATTGAGTCTCTGAAGAAGGCCCTCAGAGACAAAGAGTGCCCGCTGAAAGTGGCCCAAACCAGGCTGGAGGAGAGGACCCGCAGGCCCAATGTGGAGCTCTGCAGGGACAACCCACACCACAGGTACTCTGCTGCTAGTATTCCTTCCTTCATTGTTCTATATAATTCATGGAGTAAAATACTATTTGGTCGTTCCTTTTTATTGTGGTAATACTATGAGTACACTGCTGGTGGTTCCATATTACTGGCTAGCAAACACGATAAGCCGTTTTCAGAAGTGATAAATAATTCCATCTAATGTATCCATCCCCATGATTTGCATATGCTGCAAAATGTTATGGGTTCTCTCTTTCACCATGTTTCATCAAAATCCAGCCAGGCGACTTTAACGTTATACTGCTGACTTACAGACAAACAGAGATGTAATTAGTAGTTCAGTAGTTAAGTGTCACTCATTACATGTTTCCTGGGACTGCACCTTTATTTATTTCACTTCTTGAGGTGCTCCTCTTTATCCTTCCAGACTTGTGAGTGAGGTGAGAGAGATAGAGGACACCATTCATCGGCTCCAGGAGAGGCTGATGGAGGCTGAGAACACTCTGCAGACTCTGGTCAAGACTAAAGTCACCTTGGAGCACGACCTGTCCATCAAGGCCAACTCCATCTTCCTGGACCAGGAGAGGTGTATGAGCATGCGCAAGAGCTTTCCCAGCATGCCCCGTCTGGTGGGCTACACCTAAATAAGGTTCTAGAAAAAGCGAGTCTATATTGGAGAACCAATATAATTAACGATGACTGTTTCAATGGGTTTGGAGTGATTTTAAGGGTGGTGTGAATGTAAACAAAATGACTTAACTTTACAGGCACAGATGTCAAAATGTAGCTATAAACAATTTATTAACCAGATGTATAAAAAGACAAAAAACACCATTCATTGTCGCCTGATGCTTTCATTTTGCACTTTTCACTGCATACTTTTAACTGTTTTTCTTTAAAAATGCTGGAAGATATTACCAAATGCAAATTAAAAGAATAGTTGATGATCAAAAGAAATCAATGCATATACAACCCTCACGTCTACTGTAAATCTAATAATATCGTACAGGAAAAGATCCCTCAACAGTCAAAGGTGAGCATTGCCGTGAAAATCAATCACTTGATATGTTCTGTGACGGCATTCAAATAACTTGTATTTTCTGATCTGTCTTTACACTTTGGACAGTGTTGCACAAACGGTGGTCCTGAAGCACATGTGACGAGTAATCTTTAAAACAAATAGTTGAGATTATCTTATGCACACAATCAGAGCTGTCAGTTTGACCCAAATGTGACCCTGAGGGAATGGTGACACGGAGATACACCCTTTGTCAGGTCGGTATGGTAAACACAGAAAAGTTGACTATGGATGTGGATTGTGAAGGACTTTTTTACCAACCTTCTTTAATGAGCCATTACTCAATGCCTCACCCATAGGAGAAGCTGTGCAAACAACTTCTAAGTTATGTATGAAACCCCACACCCATCTTACAGGACTCGAGACCCATACCACTCACTTCTCATTGGCCTCTTTCTTTTCCCCTTCTTATGCACCCCTCCGTCCCTGATGCCTTCATGGCTACTATAGATGTAACCCTGACTTGATCCCACACATTTAAAGATGTTGTTTCATTCCATTTTGTTTATTCAGTCAACACCTTTTGGAGCCTGAACCATGTGTACACAAAAACACACAATCACACTTCTTGACCCAAACCTTCCACTACTACTGAACTCGGTGTGTAACCTTTGGCTTCACCGAGGAATGTGCAAACACAAATACTGTTTGAGTTCTAACGTTGTCCGCACAATAGTCACTACGTCTCCAATCAGTAAATTGATCAACGTTATCAGAACAAAGAAGAGACAACATCATTTGACTTGTATCTGGTTCCATGTGTTCATTTGGTAATTCTCTCCCCTGCAGTTTATTTCTGTTCAATATCCTTGCTATCTTGTAGCATCAGCGAGAAGATGGTATACGTCTCAGTTATTCGTTTCTTTAATCAAAGTTAATGGAAGTTGACGACAGTCGCAGCTCCACTGGCAAAACTTAAGGATTAGAGATGCAACAGGCATATGTGCTTTTCTCAGATCTATTATAGAATCTAGTTCCACCCTAAATCCTTTCAGAGGCATTAAATAAAGCATGAACACGGTTTCATTATACATATTCCAAACAGGAGGGAAGGAGTGGACATAAAGATAAACCACTCTGTGTCTGTGTGTGAAAATTGCACTTTGATTTAGGTGTAAAGTTTTACAAGTCACAGTCACAGTGGGCTCTCTCTGCAGAGCAAACAGCATTGTGTTTGACTGTAACCCTCAGGAGCAAGTCAATGGCAGGAGGTCTCTGCCATGGTTTCCTGCATGCAGTGTGTGTTTAATGTGTAGTCCCACTCATGTGCCCAGGCACATTCCTGAGTCCTTGTATTGCAAAGAAAGGCCCCCTGTTGTCTAGCTCACATCAAAAGACTGCCTGCTCTCATCACCTTGTGATTAAACACACTGACAGATAGCACAGAGTTGAGTTTTTCAGATCCAACCCCCCAATCTTCCCTTTCTGCTTTCCCGCTCAGAAACACATAGTGGAGATACTCATGAAATGCCACTTAAGTAGAATGAACCCCTCTTTCTATGGCCCTTTGAGGTTAGGGTCTCTGTTTGGATGGGACACAAATAGGTTTCCCTATTTGACCTCCTCTACCACCCCCACATATGGGGAATGTACTCTGGAATTCTTACCGCAGTCCAGACATATTGGCGGTTTATTCTTAACGCCCGTTCTTGTTATAGATGCCCTGTGTCCCATGTTATTTTATGTTTCTTACATACCACCATGCCATACTAAAGAGCTGATCGCAGATCACTTGAGACTGGTGTGTTCAACGGCCCAGGGTTTCTTACTCTGCGCTGTAATTACAGACTTAGACTGAGAGTGCATCGTTGAAGGAGAAAAGTGGTTGATGTCATGGAGACTATTTGTTTTACTCAAAGTATGACAGTTAAACAATTAATGACCACTGATTAAACCATTTGGGGAATTTGGTTCTAAATTGTTTCTCAAAAGACCAAAAAATGACTTGATTGTATTACTGCTGATTGGGTTATAATTTGGCTACTGGGGTGTAGATCTCTAAAAATAAAACACAACCCTGACATATCCTCACATTTGTAAGTTTATGTGTTAGCAAAATGGCCTATTTACACTTCCAGCAATAACAGGACATTACTATCATCCTACACAAGTAATTTGTCTGGACAGTGCAAATATTTAGCCTCCTTTTTAGCTCCATTTTGTTCTCCACCAACAACTGAAAGAAATGTCAGAACTAACTTTGGAAGTTGCAAAAAGGTTGTTAAGAGTTCTGAAAGTCAACCATATCTTTACATTAAATGTCTATAGTGTTTACAATACAAAATAAGGAATTAAAAAGCTTTGAAGAACTGAAAATGTATATGATAATTCAAATGTATTAATCACTAGGATTAGCCCCTACCATATCACTTGGTAATATGTATTCAATGTTAATATAAACATGTTGATGAATGCAGGTTTAGTCTGTGCTCAACTCAGTCTAAACTATTCTTAAAAAACATTTCTCTTAGCTGTACCATGTGCTGCTTTTCTTTTTCAGACACTATTCAAAGTGTAAACTCTTCACAGGTGATTTATGTAGTATATCATTTGTCCACATTCAATTAGGGCCGTTTGTCTTATACCCTGCTGCAGTAACCATAGTAACAAAGTATAATTGAATTTGAATCCTCTCCTCGCAGCTTTAACTTCAATCTTACACAGAAACGTAAAACCTGAATGGAATGGCAATAATACTGTGCATCATTTTGTCATATTCATTGTTTGTATTGTAACTTTTAAGTGTTAGTCTAAATGTTAGGCTCATTTGTCTGATCTGGAAGAGCGATGCCTCCTCTGTTGCTTTAACTGACGCTTCTTCCATATTTTTCCTTATTAAATAATAGAGTTTTGGGGCATTTTTTCCATATCCAGGCGAGGGATGAAAAAGGACAGAGGGTGTTGTATGCTGAACAGAGGCAACCATTTGCTTTGTGATTTTGGACTTTATACAAAACAAAACTTGATTACATGCAAGTCACAAATGAATCATGAACAAATGTACCGGGTCATATATGATGGATAAAACCCCCAAAAGACCTAAAAGTGGCCTCTACTGGAAATTCTTGTTTAAACCGCTCAATTATATAAAACATTTATCACTTAATCTCCAGTCCTCTGAAAACTGCTGCAGAGCTCAGTTTGGACTGAACACTAAAAATGCATGGGAACCAGCTCTTCCTGCCGCTTCTGGATCCGTGCCAAAGCTCTGAGTTTTCTCAAGAGGCTGTTTCACTGCTCCATTATTGGGCTATGAAGTGTGTCTATCACTGTAAGCAATGATAAAACGGGAAAAATAAACTAAGCAGGAATCCGTTGAGTAATCGGCCAAGTTACAGCTACGAGGATAGAGAGAGGAAGCTGGAGATGGACAGATAAGGAACATTTTATATTCTGTGTGGTTTTCCGTCCCAACTGCCATCCTCACATGCAGCGGCTCTGTGTGGCTGATGATAACCAATGTGAGAAATCTTTGCCTCCTTAACATGTATCAATCAACATTGTGTCCCCCAGCATTCTGCACATATATGTGCACAGTTATAACAGGAGACAGGAGACACAGTTATAACTGTGTGTTATAACTGTATAACTGTGTGTTATAACTGTGTCTCCAATCAGGCACTGGAGATAAACCAGAGGAGCCTAACTGCTAACCAAAGTTCAGGGGTCCGCCACAAAGACTGGCACACACAGTACAATGTGGAAAAGACAAAGGTCTTTTGGGTCATATGTAATATTGAGTTGAATTCTGGAAAAATCCATAACGTTTCACTGTGAGTCCAATTGTTCACATTGTCCGAAAGAGGAGTGGGAGTAAAATAGAGCGACACAGACGTCAAGACACAGTACTGCAGTCTTTTGTGCTGAATCATAGTGGGGTGAGGGAGACTGTGAGTTATGCACTATGGTCAGACTAAAAGCCACATTTATTAGATTTATTTTTAAAGAGTTTTTCTCTGGAACCAAGGGAACAAGCACAGCATAATACAAAAACGGAACTGGTCCAAATTGCTGTTTGTATTAATAGAATTTGCCCATTCTCATGGATGGTGACCTTACATACTTTTACTCCAGCCACATATGTCACTATTGACCAATGAAATGTCACGGGTGATGTGTGAATCATGGCCATGTGATTTCAGTAATGTCAGAAGATTAATGCAAGAGTTTGCTGACAAGCAAGGCAATGATGCAATCATGAGGCTTTCCACAAACAGTGATATTCTAGGCTTAGCATTATAATTAGGTAACTTCATTATTTGATAGATTTACTAACAAAGCAATGACAACTTTGGTATGATTTTAGAGTAAAACCCTTAATTTTTCCACCGGAAATTATATCATTATCTTTTGAGCTCGGCCCCCAGACGTCTGTACTCACATCACAGGAGTGTATTTAGTTAAGGGACAGGGCTTGTTTTCCACATGTGTTGTCATCACTCTGTGTCTCTTGATTAAAGTGTGATGACAAGACAAGGATTGTGAGTAGCTTAATACTTATCAGAATAAACAAACACAAAATATTTACCTCTCATCTCTAGTATCCCCAACTTTCTTGTCCTACATGCAATTGCTTGCTTTATATTGCTTAACAACTATGCTGTATGTGTGAGTTTGTGTAAACAGTTCTGGCCAGAAACATCTGACGTTAGTGGAGAGAGGGGCAGTCGCGGCTGCAGTAGGAGGGGAGCTATTAAACTACTGCAACTCAGAGGTCCGACAGTCAGCGGCACTTCCCATGCTGATGATAGGACACCAGGGCTGACCCACCTTTGACCGACAGCTGTCAGAACCTGACCGACAAGGCTTAAAGACAAACAGCGACGCAGACAGGCCTTCCCTCTGACATATCATCAGCTGGATCCACTGATTCAAAGTCGAGCTGAATAATATATA